CTCATGTAAGAAATCATTTCCAGCTGGCTGGCATGGCTCAGTGGATTGAGCGTGGGCTGAGAACCAAAGCATCGCAGGTTCGATTTCCAGTCAGGGCACATGCCTGGGTTGCAGGCCATGACCCCCAGCAACCGCACATTGATGTTTCTCTCTCTCTCTCTCTTTCTCCCTCCCTTCCCTCTCTAAAAATAAATAAGTAAAATCTTTTAAAAAATCATTTCTTAGATTAAGGTCATAAATACACAGATTCTTCTACACCATCTCCTATCTTTTATGGGTTTGCTTTATGCATTTGAGTAGTCAATCCATCTGGAATAAACTTTGGGATACTAATGGAGATGAGGGTTGCAATTTCACCATTTTTCCTTCACTGAGAAGCCTAACATTTCTTAACTCTTCTTGAGCATGTTTCTATGTCAAAAATCAAATTTGCATGTATGCGAGGGCCTGTTTCTGAGCTCCCAACACAGCCATTCTTTTGCTCCAGGGTCTTAACTGGTACAATTTAATAAAAAATATCTCTCTTTTAAGGCATGTGAAACATCGTGGTTATTTCTGGTGCACTGTTCTTTCACATATATTTTTGCAATAGCTCACCAAATCCTATTTAAAAATCCTTAGAATTATTTTTGCCGGAGTTACACTTAAGGTATAAATCAACTGACAGAAAGTTGACTCAATTAAGTTACTGAGTCTTTTAATCTACAAGCAAGGTTTCTTTGTAATTGTATATAAACTTTACAAAGTGTATTTCAATAAAATTTTTCTTCATGAAGGTCTTACCTATCTTTTATTAGGCAAGGTCTTGCCTTTTACTAAGGTAACTTATAAATTATATTTTCTCTCTGAGACACATTGAAATAGATGTTGTATGTTTTATTAATTACATATCCAGTAAACTTGCTAAAATCATATCTAATAATGAATCTCTAGGCATGTTTGAGGATTTCTAAGTAGACAATTGCATCACTAGTGAATAACAACAGCTTCGTTTCTTCCTTTCCAGCCCATTTCTTATATTTCTCCTTCTTGTCTTCCAATATGATGTCAAATGCAAGAAGTGACATTTTCAAGTATTAAACCATACTTATATTATTGACTCAACTCAACTTAGCCATGATCTCTTTTATATATTATTGGACATGGTTTGGTAATATTTTGTTGAGTTTTTTTTGCATTATTTTTAAAAATAGGATGGGACTGGAAGACTTCTCTTTCATCATTACTTGGTTGCAGTACCAAGGTTGTACCTCATTACCTTAAACATTTCACACTCTCAAAGTCTCACTGGTATCAGAGTTGTGCCGGTTTTGTTTTTGTCTTCTACAGTTATACGTGACTGGAGATACTTGATCCAGTTGGATATAAGTGATAAAATAACTTGGGCCTTATATTTCTTCTTTCTTTCTCCCTTCCCTTGTCCTTTTGTCCCTCTGCCTCTCCCTCCCTTCCTCCTGTTGACTGATACTATGGCAATTCATTTCCCTTTGAATTTTGTACTTCAAAATTGTAATCTCTCATTTCTTGAAACTTTAACTATTAGGCTTTGACTGAAGGTGAAATCTCTCAAGAAAGGATGTGCTTGTTTTTTCTCTTCTAAAAGGTAGCATAAATTCAGGCTGCCGTGATCACCATTTCTCAGAAGAAATTTTTCTTCTACTCAGCACCAAGGTTTGACACTGGCAAATTGCCTTGCAGTCCCTGAGGTGGAAGATCAGACTGATTCTCATCTTCCAGAGCAGGGAAGCCCCTAGGGCTTTTGCTTTAGGCTGAAATTCTCCAATTAGATATCCCATTTTGGATGAGCCCTGAGCTTTATCTACTGTAACTCAGAGCAATACCAATTACAGTATGGTCAGAATATATAGAACATTCAAGATAAATGGGACAGTATGAAAAGTGAAAGAAACCAGACATAAAAAAGTATATACTTTATGCCAAATGTAATTCCAGAATTGACAAAACCTACCTACGATGTCAGAAAGCAGACTGAATGGTTGTTCGGGGCTGAGAGTGACTGTGAAGTTCTATAAGGGAACTATCTGAGGTAATCAAGTTCATAGCTTCATTGTGGTGCTGGTTATGCATCAAACTGTTATCCTAAACACATTTTAAGTTGGTGCACTTTATTGGATATAAATTATTCCTCATTAATGTTGATTTTAATACTGAAATACAGGCATATAAACATTATCAAATTATACCGGTAAGATCTGCACGTGTTACTCTGTGTCAATTTTATGTCAATAAAATAATTGTAAAACCCCTCTAGGAGCTGGCATTTCAGAAATCAAGTAAGTTTTTACTACCACCACCCTTACTAGCATCCATATCAGTTTAAATAAATGGAGGCTCTAGGGAGTCCTGGTAAACCTCTGTGACAAGGTAGTTTTAGCCTGTTAGTCTTTGGTCAGGTCACCATTTAGTTTTTATTGCTGGTGAAAAGGTATTTCTATGATTAAAGCCTATTTCTAAGTTAGTGCATTGGCGAGAAGATGGCTATCTGTGCAGCACTGTTCCTGACATCATTGAGGACATTTTGACTATTACTTCTATTGCATTCTATTTATTTATGAATAAAAAGAAGTCATGTCAACACGAGTCACCAAATTGCTATTTCTAAGGTCCCAAAGCTTTACAAAGAATGAAATACATACGTTCATTTATTTTTCTGGTTTTATATGCAGAGGGTTTTGTTGCAGTATGGTCTAGTTAGTCTTCTTGGAAATCATGGCCTCTGAGAACAATGAGAATGCGGAAGCAAAAGACCATTGAAAACTACTAAGTCCCCAAGTGCCAAGGACAAGCACAGAGTGCTCCCTCAGTCCCTTCCCTGTGTCCACCCTCCAGTCTTGCTAGGTTGGACGTTCCTTTTATCTCAGATCCTATGCTGCTCTTCCACCACTGTCACAGATTATGTTTCTAACTAAACTACATTCTCCTCACTTTACTCCCCAATTTTCATCTTAACATCCTTTGAGTGACTCAACTCAGTTCAAGTCCTTGGCTTCCTCTAATCTGCCCAGCACTGTACTCATCCCTGGATGCATTAAAAATCAGTCTGTCAATGAAGAGGTTACATGCTAGTGAGGTAAATTTGTGGGTAAATAATAATAGAGGTACACACAGTGCTCGTGAGTCATAAAAACAGGCCGCCCAGCCCAGCTGAGAGAGACAAAGGTGGTTTCTGGAGGAGATGGATGAAACCCAAAAAGAGCCCTAAGAGGTGAACAGGATGGGTGGGCACACCAGGGCAGCTGAGAGTTGGCGCATTCAAGACAGAGGAACCAGGAGGAGCGCAGGCCTGGGGAACTGCAGGACCCCTAGGGCCCGCTGGAAAGTGAGTCTGTATGGCCCATCCCTCACTGTGAGTTTAGCATTTTAGAGCCTTTTGGTAAAAAGTTATACTCAACTTATAAATGTTTTTAAAGTTGAAAGATATTGTCATTTGTGTTTGTTTCTATGGCATCCGATTAACACTTCGAACTCTGTGGCTCATCATTGTAACACCGAGTTGCTCCAGCATGGTTTCTAGGAACTAGGGATTATACACTCTCAGAAGAATTTAATGGCATGGAGAAACCTGATAAAGTTTCTTTGGTATTGTGCATCTGGCACATGCATAAATATCTCCATAATGTGGTAGCTGGAGGAAAATTGCAGGAAAACACATTCCAGTCACTTGCATTATGATAAAATAAAGAAAACAAGCTACAAAAAGATGACATTACTCAGCCAAAGATTTCTATTCCAGCCCCTGTCTCCCATGGATGCTGCTCATCCTCCTGTCGGTGCTCACTGTTATAATACTACTGTTCCTATATACAGAGGATATTTCTAGAGAGGGCCTTTCAAGTAGAGAAGGATATTTACCTCCTGGGGATCGTGTGGGTGTCTGTGCGAGTGTATGTGTGTGAATTTATGTGTGTGTGTGCCAGTGCACTATTTAGGTTAGTTCGAGTGTGGATACATTCTTCAACTGAATCTTCTCCAAGTATTTTATGGTTCTGGGTTCAGATGAAAATGACCACTACTGTAGATGTAGGGGTCACAAGCCAAATTACATTTAATAATTTTGAAGATACAGTCAAATTGGAGTCTCTGAACAACTTGTTTAAAAGGTTTTCTATTTCTCCCATTCCTTAGGCTCCTCTAATCACCGTCGGCCAGTCTTCCGTTCACACACACCCGACTTCCAGTTTTAAGCTTCTCTATCTCTATTACTGGCAGCTAAAGACCATGAGAATTGTCTTATTTATAGTATAACACCTTTTTAGACATTTTGGCACGTCCACCATATAAATCATGTGAATAAGTACTATGATAATCTAAAGAGATGTGCATGCAGTTTTTTGAAAAAATTAAGAACTTTGTATCACATGATTCTTTCCCTTTAAAAAATCACTGGATTTAAAAAAAAAAACAAAACCTGGCTGGCATAGCTCAGTGGATTGAGCGCGGGCTGGGAACCAAAGTGTCCCAGGTTCGATTCCCAGCCAGGGTACATTCCTGGGTTGCAGGCCATAACCCCCAGCAACCGCACATTGATGTTTCTCTCCCTCTCTCTCTCTCTCTCTCTCTCCCCCCCTTCCCTCCCTAAAAATGGATGAATAAAAAAAAAAATCACTGGATTTAAAGATAATATAAATCACTTTGTACCCTGTACTGTACCAACATCACACAGCCCTGCTGTTGAATATCTCTTTTTTCCTTTTAGTGTGAATTACAAACTATTTAAAGTGTTAGGGATTAAAAACATCTAGGGTTAAATATTAGGAAGCAAGTCCACATTGCAGAACCTGTACCTAAAATATTTGGAATAATGTTTCAGAATAAATATTATGTTTCAAAGGGGAATCTTCAAACTATCACTCAACATTCAAAACACACAGCTCCAGAGAAGTTCTTCTGAGCAGACAGCTAGTTAATAAGACACAGAATATTTAATTTCACACGTGAAGCAGGGACAGACAAGCATTACTTCCCACCAGAAAACAAACCTTAAGGAAATGGTTGTTATTGTTATTGCAGTTGCCAGGCACTCCTTGCAACTCAGCCACAGTGTTCTAAAACGGTTGACAACAAAAATTAAAAAAGCTTTTCCCCACTAGAGAGAGCAGCCTAATGATAAAGAATTAAAAAATAAATAAATAAACCCAAACACTGAAGTCCCGGTACCTGCCACGACATAATACTTTTGAGAACTAAGAGAATGCCCCCACTTTTAGTTTCTGTCATTATAAACACGGGACAAAGTCAACTCACATGACTGAAAGGCCATCCATAGTACCTGCAATCTCTTGCTCACACAACACAAGCTGTTCCAGCCAGGAACAGCAAACAGCATGAGTCAAATACAATGTTATCCCTTCAATGCTTTTCACATAAAATTTCTCTTCTTGTAAACCTTTTAACACGTATGCAAGCCAGACCTTCCATTATATTTTTGCCTCTAATTATTATGTGTTAACACAAGCAATGGAAATGCATATCTATGCAGGTGGCTGCTCTAAATTGTATTCAATACTTCTAAAGATTCTAAAAAAATGACTACTATTGCCACGATATAGTTATAATGATATTAATTTCCAGTAATGGAAACAAATCATATAAAGGTTATGTTTTAAAAAAGGGTAACCTTTGTTTCTGGAGTGAGGATTAACATTGTTATGAACCACTGCCTAAAAGAGACCAAAATGCCAGCTATAATCTAAGACTTTAAATGTAATGAATAATATATTTTAAAATGACAAGAGGCAAAAGCAAAATAATCTTATAACTTTACACATGCATGTAAAACAGTTCATTTTAATGTGAACGACCAAATGTATTTTTTCATTCAAAAAAGTGGCAAAGAACCTGTCTGTACTTCATTGCCAGTCTGAGCCCACAGCGTGTCACACTGCAAAATGCTCTCCAAGATAAAATACACCACAAAATCTGCAGCACACAAGACATACCAGAAGTACATCATCCTACCACGCAAAGGTTAAAGATTGAGTGTGGAGAGTATGACAGGAGACTTAATTTGTTATTGAAAATTAAAATCTAGTGGAAAAATTTACCATACCCCCAGAATTTCGTGAGATAGTGCTGAATGTCTGAGAGGTTTACTGAAATCCTCCATGGTTACCTTTCAGATTGTAGAAAGGGAAGGAAGGAAGGAAGGGAGGGAGGGAGGGAGGGAGGGAGGGAGGAAGGAAGGAAGGAAGGAAGGGAGGAAGGGAGGGAGGAAGGGAGGGAGGGAAGGAGGGGGAAGGGGGTTGGGAGAGAGAAAGAAAGGGAGAAAGAGAGAGAGAAAGAGAGAGGAAGGAAGGGAAAGAAAGGAGGGGAGAGGGAAGGAGGAAGGGAGGGAGGGAGAGACAGAGAAAGAAAGGGTGAAAGAGAGGAAGAAAAAGAAATGAACAATACTTCTATTAAATCCAGAAATGCGATCACTAAATCACAGATCCACATTTAATACTTTCAATTTTTCAGATTTATATCTCCCTCCTCTTTATAGGATCCCCTTTATTCTTTGGCCTTTAGGTAGAGACATTTTAACTTTGCTTTTTAAAAATCAGAATGTTTAACATTGTGCATAAAACATATGGGAATGCAAATTAAAATGGAGTTAGTTGTTTGATTATTATAAACTCTTCTAGTTTAAATACTTGAAGAAAAAAAGCCTAGAAAAAATGCAGAAATTTAGAGTTTGTATATTATATACATCTATTTTAAATTCTTCTGGAGTATAATTTATACTCTCCTAAAGCATTAAAACAGATATATTTAAGTACATTCTATACATGATAAAGTAGATTTAATCCTAAATATGGTTCTGAGAGAGAACCATTGTACCTTTACAATTTCTGGCTATATTTATCACATTGCAATGTTTTCCCTGTAGGCAATTCAAGCAAGCAACTCCCCTTTGTCAAAGTGACAAGTTCCAACTTAGAATAAACCTTGGATGATTTGACCAAAACCAGAAGCTATCTATCCTTCAGGAGACAATGCTGATCTAAGTGCTGGCTCTGGAAATTACTTGGATGGACTTGGTTGTTCTGCATTTAATTAGAGGTTTTCCTGGCTGGCTCAGGGAATGCCACAGGGGATACAGTCAACTAAAAATGATTCCATCTTTGAAATCATAAAATGATTCTATAAATAAGAGTGAGAAACTAAGTGATTGATTACACAACTCAGGATTACCAAGATATGTAAATCAATAAATTGCTCAATTACATATAAAACTAACTAAATTATTCAAGGACCATTTACGCATTGGATAACCACTATTGGTCCATCTCATTTCCATTATGTTTCTTGGACATTTTATTTTTTATTAACAGGGAAAGAGAGTAAATAAGAAATACAGACATAACATTCAAATCAACTTAAGAATAGTAGGTTGCATTAGTAAAACAATGAATTTAAGATACGTAGATAAATTGAAGTATTTACACAAGTGTGAATTTTCACCCTTTGTACAGCTCCCGTCTTTCTGATGCACGGAAAATTCACAGTCGGTTTTAGCTGGGCACATGGGGGAAGGTTGTGCCTTCAGGGAACTGTGCCTCCCTTCAGGGAAGGGAGAAACCTGAGTCAGAGAGGAGCACGAGGGACAGAGGCAAAGGAAAAGGGCGCCTGACCATGGCAATACAGCAAAGGTTGCTTGGAATGCCATGGTGGCGAGCACCTGATTCCCATTTCTACAACTTGCAGGCAGAAGAAAAAGTTTAACCTAAAGCTAAACTCTATTTTTTGTAAAATATTTGTATACTCAATTATTCTTCCCTTGAAGCCCTGTCTTCGTAGGATACTTATGGATTAAGCATTTACCTAGAGTGAAAAACTCTCCAAGAATTTGATTCCCTTATTATTAGAAAAACAAAGAGTCACAGAACCAAAGTATTACAAGATATTCCAACACTTCAAACAAGAATCCTCTTAGTGACATTTCTTGTCACCCACAGACCCATCCACCCACTCCACTACAAAATGCAGTGGGTTGCAGGGTCCAGGCTTTGGAGCCAAGAAGACCCTCTCCCCATCCTAAAGCGCCAACTATGAGCTGTACCACTAGGAAAAGCTTCAGTTGCTGCATTTCTAGAGAGAAGGAAAAGAACCTCTCTGTTTGCTCTAAGATGACATGAAATCATGTGGGAAAGGCACCTTGCAAAGTGCCTGACACTGAATATTTATTTACCTCCATTCCTGCTGGAAATATCTACTTTAAGTGACAATCCACTTGGCTTTCCTTACAAAAGGAGGCAAGAAAAAAATCTATGTGATGTTTTTCCAAGTGCAAATGTTGAGGAACAAATATTCCTTTTGCATTTACTCATTATCACATAAGAGAAAATTGTGTGTATATATGAGGGGGGAGCCAAAAAGAAACCGGAATTATCTTCTGGAGGGTGGGCCCCTTGTAGCATGGGCTTTCCCTGCTAGGTGAGTGTTCTAGGAACCGATCTGTATCAGTATACCAACTGGCATTGTTGTGAGAGGCTGTGTTCGGCTTCAGTGAATTTGTTTTCAAGACTCTTTCAAAGCATTTGCCCATTTCATGATGGGTGATTTACGGGTGCACCTCCCCACACTGCAATGAATGTTCAAAAGTTTTTGAACAAAAATGGCATGACCCCTGTACCCCAGTCTCCCTATTTCCCTGATCTCACCCCAAGAGACTTTTTGTTTCCCTGGATGAAAAAAGTCCTCAAAGGAAAATGTTTTGCCAATGTATATGTTGAAACAAAAAACGGCAGGAGTACTGAAAGGCATTGCAATTGACAAGTTCAAAAACTGTTTTGAGCAGGTGTACTGTATCAAATGGAGAGTATTCTGAAGGTGACTGATGCTTAGACATGTAAGAATACACAATTTTTATCAATAAATTTCAATCTTGGGGTCCCCCCTCATATATACACTTATACATAAAGCTTTATCAGCTTGAGTTGAAAATTTGGGGGGATGAATATGATCAATTCCATGAAATAACCTGAGAAGTATATAGTAGTATGGGATCTAAAAATTTCACATGGAGAACCTTAAAAACTATTTGATTTTCCCTCTTTCCTTGCTAGACCAGATGCTTTATTTCAGAGACTGATGGAATATCAGAAGCTGGAAAGAATTGAGACGTTAGCCCAATCCCTGTGCTTTATAGCCAGAGACATGGGGACCCACAGAGACTGGAAAGCTGGGCCTCCTCAGCCTCCACCGCCTGATGTCGGCCACACACCCCTGGACCTCAGATCCAAAGCCCTTCCAGCAGAGCGGGCAGGTAAAAACCAGACCTGCAGAGAATGATTCCATGACCCTAAAACAGACTTGTAGTCAAAGCAAATCAGTATCTCTGTGGAAACACAAAACACCAGCGCAGAGGATGGAAAAACTAGGTAAGATGAAAGTTCAAATATCTGAGGTAATCACTCCTTCAGTTTCTAAATCCAAGATAACATTTTCATATATAATGTCTCAGTATAATGAAAAAATACTCACTGTTTCAAATGAATTCTGCAAGTGAAAAAAACCTAAATCAACTAAATAGAATTCTAAGAGACTAATCTTTCACGTGAAGACTTTCTAATGTGTACTCTGATCGAAAGTTAACTAATGCACCATTGTAAATTTCCTGCTGTAATTAATGGAAATTACATCCTCATTATACTACAAGCAAATGAAAAGACTAAAATATATTTGGGTTAAAACATTCCAGACTAAAAGATACATAGAAAATATTTGCGTATCTGTTTATTAATCTTCACTACATCCTGGCTAGAAACCAAAAAAAGCTCTGGACAAAGAATAAATTCAGATGAGTAGAGGTTGAACATAGTAAGTTATACTGTCCTTATATCAGCTGGAATAAAGAATATTTATTTTACCTGAATATTCACTATGTTTATGGAGATTGAAATACTACAACTAAATTGTTGATGGATCTTTTGACACGCCAATATGAAACACATGCATCTTTAAAATAAAGCGCATTGTCCCATTATATCAACGTATGTTTGGCGTTTACATTAGAAATAGGCCAGCATCTGTATTATATTACTCCCCACAAGGGTTCCGGACAGCCGTTTTCACTTGGGGGTTAGCTTCTACTCATTTACTTGATCTTCTACAGAGAACAGGATGCAAAATTATTCCAATATGTATCTACTCTATGGAATATGTGTTGGTGGAAAAGCTTTGTTCTGCATTATGTTAGCACAAATCATAGTGAGCAGATCCAAAGAACTTTCTCTTCCTGGAAAAAAAGAAAACACTCAGTGATTTTTAGTACTTTCCTGTGCTTGTATGTGTGCTTTTTCAAGTAAAATGTTTATTGATTTTTTTGAAAAAGCATTATATTTATAGAAAATTTGGTAAAGATTGAAAGAACATAAAGCTGAGAAGGAAAATCACCCAATTCAAACATTAAAGACAGCTACTATGGACATTTTGGTGTTTTAACTCTTTTTTGTTTCAATGAATTTCTTGTCATAGAGTGATGAGATGACTCCTTTTATTCCAAAGTCTTCACACTGTAAACAGAATACCATTACTTGATTCATAAATGAATAACAAATTCGAGTAATATTTCTTTCTGGTGAGGTTGAATGTAGCCACATTCTCCTTGGGAAACTGCAAAGAGTCTGTCATACTGTTACAAAGTAAACAGAGTTCTACAAAGTAGGGGCCTACCGAGAAGAAACATAGGAAAAGAAAGCGGCGCGGACGGCCTACCTCGTCGTCATCCGCATCGTACTGGGCATAGTGCTGCTCGAGCAGTTCTCTCTGGCGCCTCTCCTGTTCCAGCGTCTGGCTTATCAACTGCGCCACCTCACTCACTTGTCCTGGTTTTTCTCGCCCAATAACAAATCTGCAGGAAGGTTAAAGAAGGCTAATACAGTTAGACTGTCTCCTAAATAGGAGAGCTAACAAAAGTAACCAAGTAACCAAGCTTGGTATCTCGTCAGGGCTCAAGAAGCCTCAAAAAAGTAGTAACATCATCGCTATACTTGAAATGGCAGGCCTGGGTGGCAGGATTGGTTAACTGAGTCGTTCAGGGTGGTATCTGCAGCAGCCCAAAGGAAAAGAAAGGAAAGAGAAATAAATGATCACAAAAAAATGTTACCTTGGGAGAAGACGAACCAAATGTAATTCATTCAACAGTACTTGACACATTTTTGATGCCCTACATATGGGAGCAAACACCTAATTTCCTGTACTACTGAACTTCAGATTTCCATAATGTCCTCCTTATAAAACAAAAACTGCTTGAAAACTTCTTGAGGTATAGCATACCTTAGGTGGGTAAATATACACAGAGAGAGGTAGTAGCTTTTTGCTAAGTTACTATAATTTTGGAAATAAAGAGAACGGGGGAAACTAAAGGAGGTAGGTTTTTTCTTTGGCTTTAAAATGAAAAACTAAAATGAGGACAGGCGGTGAATTAATTAACTTCTTTTGGAGAAAGATGGTATGAGGAGGAACATGCCTTCAAATAATAAAAGGACTAAGGGAAACACATTTGTATTAATTCCTGCAGGAAAAAAAAGTATAAAGGAAACACCAGGGAAGTCGTCTATTGCAAGGCCCAGCCACTGCTGATATATCCTCATTATACTGTGTGTTTTGTTCAACAAATTAAAATTCACTTAACATCTTTTCACACATAATATATGGTTCTATTTTTGAAAAATACAAATAAAATATCTCTGTGATATAATTTCTACATATTATTTAACATCACTACTTTGGATGTGACTCTTAGCTATTTCCATATTTAATTGATGCTTTCCTATGATTGATACATCGCTGCATTCAATTAAAATTTTAAGTGAAATACTCCACATTCTCTGTACAAATACACTAAATGTCCAAATTTCTATACTCAGATGTTAATAATTCATTGTTTTTTGGAAAGACTTTTATGAAGTTTCAAACAGGACTTAATTTTGATATATGTTTGCATGTCTATTTTATTATTTGACCTATTTTCCTTTAAGAATATACTATAATTAGAATTCATAAATACTAAAAATTTCACCTTTATTCAGGTATAATTTACACACAGTAAAATACATCTATCCTAAATGTACAGGCCGATAAATTTGACAAGTGTATAAACCTGTAGACACTACACCAATAAAGATGCAGAACATTTCCATTAACCCAAAACATACCATCTCCCTTTGCCGTAAATCGCTCTCACCCTGGGCCCACAGTAGATGTGTCTTTAGAGTCTCATACAAATGGAATTACAGAGTGTCTGGCTTCTTTGGCTCACTATAAAGTTTTGGACAGTTAGCCATGTTGCTGCAAGTATCAGCAATTTGTTCCTTTTTATCAACGAATAGTATTTCATTGTACCAGATTTGCTGTATTTGGTTCATCTATTCTTCTATTGATAGGTATTTGGGTTGGATTTAGATCGTATGAGCAAAGTTATTATAAACTTGAGTTCAAGTCTTTGTGGGGACATAAAGTTTCATTTTCCTTAGACAAATAATAGTAGAATTAACGTTATATGTTAAGTATATATTTAATTTTTTTAAAATTGCTGCCCTGGCCAGTGTGGCTCAGTTTGTTGGAGCATCATCCCATAGACCAAAAGGTTGCAGGTTCAATTCCTGGCACTTAGGATTGTCTTTTAAAATTTTAGCCATTCTACTGGGTAGGTATCTAATTGTATTTATAATGGTTTTAATGTCTAATGCCCTGATGAATAATGATTTTAAGTGTCTTTTTATGCATTTTTTGACTATCCATATGTCTTTCTTAGTGAAATATCTTTTCAAATCCCTTGCCCATTTTTTTTAATCTGGGTTGTCTGACTTTTTATTATTGAGTTGTAATGGTCCTTTATATATTCTGGATACCTATTTACACATCCTCATCTATAGATATTGCAGATACACACATACACAGAGATACATACACAAATGATACATGTGTTTGATTTATTATATTCTGCCTATCTGTGGTTTACCTCTTAGTTTTCTATACTGATGTTTTCCTTCTTTAAACGCACAATAGAGTATAACTTACCTATATAAAGATAACAGGAGATTTAAGGAAGCAATTACTGTATAAAATGCATATTAATCAAAAACAGTAGCCAAGCTCATAGTAAGTAAATTAGAATTCACATTCATTTAGGCCATAAATGAATTTGAGAATTACATTGTCCATCTTTTAGTTTAACAATTTTCCCTAAGAATGGAAAGTTTATTTCCTCTGCAAGGCAAGTGTTTAAAGTTAATCTAAACACAATTCAGGAAGAGAAAAACGTCAGATGTGGTCCACTTGCCAAATAGTTGAAACTGAGTTTAATTGCTGATTTTAGAGATGAATGAAGGAATCTTAAGAAAGACCTTGTGAGGAATTTTTTAAAGCAGAAAATAATTTTTTAAAGTCTAGGTTACATCATAATAAGTTATGTAATTACATAATATAATAAATCAAAACTCCAATATGATGTGCAACTTCCTTTCTGTCTTCAAATCATGATCTCCAACTCCAAACCAGGATTATTTATAAATGCTAAACCTAAAACGAATGATTATATATAATAAAAGTTTCAGAGGAAATAAGAATTGTTCCATATTGCTTAAGAAACCAGCATTTTAAATCATGAAGGCATAGTTGCTCAAAATCACAGCCTGGCTTTCTTTATGAATTTACCCCTACAACTTAACAGTATTCACTACTTGCCCAATATTAGTTCGCATTCAAAATCACTTTACAGTTTGATGAAACAGAAGTGATTTGTAACTGCATATAAAACAGACAATTCCTCTCAGGAAATATATTCACTTTTAAAAGTGTTGTTACTGTACACATGTCTTCATTCAAGCAGGTAAGGTGGGCGGCATTATAGCACCTGGCCGCACACATCTTTAAAGTCTTGAGACCCACTCTAACTTACAGTGCACATTTGCAGCATTAAAACTCATTCTGATGAGTACGGCCCAGAGGAAAAGCACCCAGAAGTACAACTGACTGTTCCCTATCTTTATTTTCCTCATTGAAAATTAGTATCTAGTCCATGTGTCTACAGGAGTGATAGAAGAATAAAATGTGTATAAATATGAGAGGCCTTGAAGACACTATTATTATTATGGTAAAACTAATAAACAGCTCCCATTCAGAAAATGTGTAACATTCAAATTACCTTTCTATATGTTCTTAAATGTTTGGCCCACTTTGAAGCAGTCTTTATAAATATGTCCTATAACAGTATATGTATAATCTAGCACATACAGAATACAGTAGAAAATGTAAAATTTAAAGTAAGATTATTATTTCAATATGGATTCATAGTCATAGTATGAATATGCTGTGTTACTTAGGGGTTTAAAGTATCTGTAAAAGGGGAAAATAACTAACAAAAATATTATGTAATCCATACAAAAACTTAACTAATTACCTGGCACCTAGAAAGTATTAAATAAATGTTAACTCTTGTTTTTATCTAGACAATATATTAAGAAATAAATATGGCTGAGTGTATTTAAAAGTATGCACTGTCCCAGTTACCTCTTCTTTGAATTGTGATTCAAAGTTGTGAAAACTGTGATTCACAGTTTTGAAAAAATGATTGGACTTTTGTGAGTCAACCACAGGAAAAAGATAAAATACTTGCACTATAATATGCTTTGAACATTTTAATATCGGTCACTCTCAAAAGATAAGTGTATGGATTACATGACTACATTAAAATGAATTTTTAAAAAATCAAAAATAGAACCAAAGCCTGTGATGCTCAGTCCCTCTGCACACGTGACCTCTGTGTGCAGCTCTGACGTCTGTTCCAGACACAACCTCCGGTGGAAAGGACACGTGTGCTCACATCGGCCTGTTTCTGAATTTTGAGATCCTCTGAAAAATTTTTTTCCTGTTACTTTCCTAACTTTTTTTCTTTGCTTCGACAAGAAATGGTGTGGTCTTTTTATTTTTTCAGCTATAAAGAATGAGGTAACAGAAACCAAACTGTAATGGATATTTACATTAAAAAATTAGGTATTTTCTAAGGTTTTATATATACATGTATAATACAATACTAGAACCAAAATATACAATTAAGGTTTATGTTTTTAGCATGGCTCAGTTCTAGTGTTCAAAACAATGATCTGGTTTCAATGTGAACTATTCCCTGGAAACTGTCCTCTCTCCCCCACGAGCTGAGATACAATAGACAAAGTCAGATAAATCCGTTTTTCCTCGTCTTTTCACCTATTACTCGAGAAGGCAATGCCCATATACTGTCCTTTGGAGTTTGGATGACAAGATTATATGGAATGCATCTGATTAGTTTATTGAATACCCTGGTGAGCTGTCAAACAATAAACATCTATAAAGTTGCACTAAGAATTTGCTGAATTGAAATAAAGATTCTTCATATTCTGTGTGAATTCTGTGGGAGTTTATGTTGAGAAATGATTTATGAGTGCCTTGTTTTACAGACAAAAGTTATTCTAATAAAAGTGGTACATTAGTGAAAATGGCATCTGTTATGAAGACTTAAAAAGTCTCAATGTGGAATGAAGCTACTTTAAAAAAGGAAAAGTTGTACTAGGATACAGTTATTACTTTTACATAAATAATTCTTTCATTCACATATTCTTTTAACAAATACTTATTGTATGTACACCAAAATCCTGAGTGCTGTATCTTTAAAAAACAAAAAAAAAAGCCTTGCACAAGGCTTACTCTCTCTCAGGACTAGAGCTTTGGGTCACAAGGACACTGGTACTTCTGAAAGGTTTTGTATTTTTCTATGTTTGATCACATTTCATGACCTAACTCTGAACTTGATAGCTTTTTAAGTATTTCACTTAATTCTACTTGAGCTAGTGGTAGTACATGCATTGATATATCTGGCACTTTCACTAAAATTTGCTGAAAAATGGTTAAAGGGATCATGGACGTGGACAACAGCTTGGTGACTGTGGAGGGGAGGGGCAGGAATAGGGGGGCTCGATGGCAATGGGAAAATACAATAAATAAATAAATAAAATTTGTTGACAGTGTTTAGACGTTGAAATCCTATATAACCAAGTGACTGTTGACCATTCTCATATATATAAAAGAAAAGTTTTGCCCTGACAGTTATGGCTCAATTTTGAGTATCATTCCACAAACCAAAAGGTTGCTGGTTCAATTCCTGGTCAGGGCACATGCCTGGGCTGCAGGTTCGGTCCCCAGTCAGTCAGGGTGTGTAAAAGAGTCAACCAATCAATGTTTCTCTCTCACACAGATGTTTCTCTCCCTTTCTTCCTCCTTTCCCCTCTCTCTAAAAATAAATAAATAAAATCTTTTAAGAAAAAGTTCTACTATCCATGGTCTGAAATGCATAGTTGGCTGCTCCTCTGGTCTGTGGCCTTAGGAGTAATGTAATCACAAAAGCCACAAGGACTGATGATATCCACGAACATGGCAATTCCTCCATGGCCTTTCACCAGAATGGCACTTCATTACGCAAAATCACAAAATCACTTTGATAAGAAGTGAAAATATCAATTTCCCCTTGTGTGTCATGGCAACAGAAACTCTTATTAAAATGATGTAAATGAAGTGAAAACATTTCAAGATTTAATGCATTTCAAATGGAAATCTCAGATATACCAATGGTTTTTAAGTAATTTTTTAAAATTTCCATATTTCAAAATTATATGCCTAAGTATAAATTCTAAATAAACACCTTCATATCTATAAAAATTCACTTATCATTTATTTAAATTTTCTTTTTAGTATTACAATATCTTCCAAACAGGGAAGAGTGATACAGGGTCCGGCAGAAGTAAGGCCTGCTTGAGTGCAGTTGAATAATACGGGTGTAATAATTCATAGTTTTAATTTGAACATCTCACCCAAAATCATATGGTATGCTTGAGTGTGATATTGCTATGTTACAGAATTGCATGCTTATGATTTTGTAATAAAAGATTTTGTAACAAAAAGGGACATTATTTGCGCCAGACCCCGTATGTAGAAGGAAAAATGTTTAGACTTCTCACTATCCTGGTCAGTCTTTCCTAAATAGCTTCAAAAAATTCAGGGTTGTTCTTAAGCTAAGGTATGCAACAATAAACAAACAAGTCGAGGGGCAGATGAAAGTAGATTTACAGCTGTGAATACACGAACGTTTATTCTTAATCAATGACTGTATTTATTATTATTAATCTACTTTTGCCCATCCCTGTATATTGTGATATACACAAATTGTGTACATCAATTTATCAGTCAAAGGACATCAGACCTCAGTTTTACTGGTTTTCCATTATTATGAGCAAAGCTCCTATGAATATGCAAACCTGAGTCATTGGGTTGGGACAAGTTTTTATTGCAGCTTTTCAGGTACTTAACTGTGTATCTACCTCAGTGAAGTGTCCCTTTAATTGATTTGCATATTTTTAGTATAAGAGTTCTTCATATCTTCTAAATAATAGTCCTTTATCAGATAAATGTTTGGCAGATATTCATTCTTTACCTTGGTTTTCCATTTTCTTAAGAGTACTTTTCAAAACAAGTGTTTAAAGTTTTGGTGCATCTTACCATTTCTTTCTCTTATACTTCTTCCTTTTTTCATCTTAAAAGATCCTCAATTAACTCAAGGTCATTGAGATTTTTTGCCTGTTTTCTAGAAATTTTATGGTTTCAGCTGTTGTACTTAAATTTATGACCAATTGAGTTAATTTTTGTAAAGGCTGTGGAAAGGAGATCAAGTTTGGGGTGTTTAAAAAATGTAGTTATCCAACTGTTCCAGCACTGATTTCTAAAGTGACTACAATTTCTCCCATTGAGTTACCTTAGTGCATTAGTCAAAAATCAATTGTTTATGTCTGTGCAGGTCTATTTTGAAATTCCCTCTTCTGCTCCATTCATATAAGTATTTACACCCTTATGCCCCAACCAGACTGATGTAATCAGTGTAGCTTTCAGGCAGGGAAATTCCCAACTTTGTTCTTTTCTAAAAAATGTTAATTTCTACAAAAAGAAAAGAAAACTTCTGACACTTTCACTGAGATTGTGCTTAATCTGTAGATTTGCTGGGCACCGAGGGAAAATTAAAATGTTATCAATATTTGAGTTTTTTGATCCATGAACATGGTCTATTTCTTCACTCATTTAAGTTGTGTTTATTTCTCTTAGAAGAATTTTGTTGAAATATTCAGTATATTGTCAGATTATCCTTAAGTATTTCATTTTTTATGTTATCATGAAAGCTATTAAATTTGAATTTCCAACTCTTTGTTGTTGCTAGTGTATAGAAACAGAACTGATTTCTATACATCACCCTATCTCCTGTAACCTTGCTTGACTCACTTATCAGTTCTAGTAGCAACTCCTACAGCTTCCTTAGAATTTTTTGCATAGATGGCCATGTCATCTGTGAATAATGCACACTAACGGAGCTCAATAAATAGCCATATATTTTTAAAGATTTTATTTATCTTTAGAGAGAAGGTAAAGGAAAGAGAAAGAGAGAGAGAAAATCATTGATGTGAGAGAGAAACATCAATCAGTTGCCTCTGCTATGTGCTCCAATCTGGAACCAAATCCGCAACCCAGGCATGTGCCCTCACCAGGAATCAAACTGGGGACCATTCGCTTTGCTAGACAATGCCCAACCAACTGAGCTACACCGGTCAGGGCAATAATTAACCACACTGACTCACACAGTACACTCCATATCTTCTTTCTAAATATACTAAATTTTTTCTAAAATACTATAATTTTTAGTTTTAAATTACATTCAAACAAACTAATTGCAATAAAGAAAAATTTAAAAATGGCAAATATTTTAGCATTTAGATAAAATTCTCATTATCATAAAATATATGGATAGGTACAATCACAGAAATTTTAAATTCAACAAAATACCAAGTAACCGAACTACACACACCCGAGGCCACAGGCTTACCTGACATTGCCCTTGGTGTTTCTGAGAACTGTTGCCGCAAAGTTCTGTGTGACGCCCACCAAGCTGATTCCGTCCACTTCTACAATCTGGTCATTGACTTGTATTCTATGGGAATAGAGAAAAATTACCCACAGTTGATTTTTCTGATAATATATTACCGCCCATAATAAAAGAGTTGACAAAATACTTGATTTTTAAGATACTTTTATTGATACAAAATTACATAATCAGCTCCAGATCTCAGTCAAATGGCCCTGTTTTTAAAAGATTGTTCTGAAGAATAGAAATAAGCAATACTAAATGAAGAAATTCAGTTACCCAACACCCATATTGCTATCACAAAGAATTGGTGTTAATGTATGACATTTCTGCATTTTCTTTTGTCCTTAAAAATCACCTAGAACATTACAGACACAAATGAAATACTGTTTGGGCTTCATACTCTCCAAGGAAATTCTACAACAAGAATTCCAGGGAATCTTTCATGTATATAAATTTCATATATATATATATATGAAATTTATATATATATGAAATTTATACACACACACACACACACACACACATATACACACACATACAAAGATGCATATGTGTGCATGTGTATATATCTATGTTTAGGAGCAATATATAATGTGACTGTTATTTAGTGTATAAAGCTTCAAAATTCATATACATGTTTTATACATCCCTTTTTTATATTCCTCAAAATGAAGTATTTTAATTATGAAAAAATGAAGAAGAAATTAGACAACAAACACACAAATATTATTATGAGATTATTCATTTATTACAGAAAAGCTGAAGTCCCTTTATTATTTGTCTCTAATTCGATTCCATTCACTGCTAATACAGAGGTAGCCATCATGCTGACTTTGATGGTTAGACTTTCTATCGATGTTTTGAAATAGAAGTATCAAGTATGCATGAATAGGCATAATGTATACATTTCCAGTTTTCAAACTTCATAGTAAATCTCTTTTTGTACAATTCAGTTTCCTTCACTCAATGTTATATGTAAGATTTATCCATGGTTACAAATACATTTCAGCTAGTTCATCTTAACAATGATATAGTATTACTTTGATAAATATACAAAAATGTATTCATTCATTTTTTGCAGAGGAACCATTATATTAAGTTTTAACTATTATGAATACTATTGTAATAACCAATTTCATACATGTCTCTTTACACACATGTGTGAGTTTCTCCAGGTTATATACCTAGAAATAAGATTCCTGAGTCAAAGATCAGAGGCAATTTCAACTTGAACAAACTGACAAATTTCAGTTCCAAATGCTGACTCTTCACTCCCTGACCAATGCTTGGTACAGTCAGACCCTTTACATACTGCAGATCTTGTCAGTGTAAAAAGACACCATGTTGTGATTTCAAATGCATTTCCCTAACTATCTGTGTGGCTGAATGTCTTTTCCTATATTTAAGAGTCAACTCTCCACTTCTGCACACTGTTAGATCATGTCTCTTACCAATTTTTTGTTGATGTTGGGTTGTCTTTTTTTTTCTTATTGGTTTATATAATATGTTTTCACATCATCTGAAATAGTTTTACCCCTATCTGTAACTTGTCTTTTCACATTTCTTTAGAAAACAGTGGTTTTGAGGGAAACAATTTAGAAATATACGAATCTCATTTATAATTTTAGCTTTATATCAGGTAGTCTTTGTATTTGAGAAAGAAGAACAAAGGAGGAGGGATCACCATACCTGACATCAAACTATATTACAAGGCCACTGTAATCAAAACGGTCTGGTACTGGCATAAGAACAGACACATAGATCAATGAAATACAATAGAAAGCCCAGAAATACAACCATGTCAATACAGTCAGTTAATATTTGACAAAGCGGGCAGAAACATAAAATGGAGTAAAAATAGCCTCTTCAATAAATGGTGTTGGAAGATTTGAACAAGTACATGCAAAAAAATGAAACTTGACTACCAACTTACACTATACACAAAAATAAACTCAAGTTGGATAAAAGACTTACATATAAGTTGTGATACCATAAAAATCCTAGGGGAAAACACAGGCAGGAAAATTTCAGATATCCCATGCAGCAATATTTTCACCAATACATCCCCTAGGGCAGGGGTGTCAAGCTCATTTTCACCAGGGGCCACATCAGCTTTGAGGTTGCCTTTGAAGGGTCAAAATAATTTTACGACCATATAAATGTAACTACTCCTCAACTGTTAAGAAGCTGAAATTATGGGAAAACATATTTGCCAATGATATCTCAGACAAGGGTTTAATTTCCAAAATATAGAAAGAACTTACATGACTCCACTCTAAGAAGACAAGGAACCCAATTAAAAAATGGGCAAAGGACTTGAACAGACACCTCTCCAAGGAGGACATACAGAGGATCCAAAGACACATGAAAAGATGCTCAATATCGCTAGCTATCAGATGCAAATTAAAACCACAATGAGATACCACTTCACACCAGTCACAATGGCCATCATAAACAAAGCAACAAACAAGTGTTGGAGAGGTTGTGGAGAAAAGGGGACCCTAGTGCACTGTTGGTGGGACTGCAGACTGGTACAACCACTATGGAAAGCAGTATGGAACTTCCTCAGAAAACTAAAAATGGATCTGCCTTTTGACCCAGCAATTCCACTGCTGGGACTATATCCAAAGAACACTAAAACACCAATCTAAAAGAACCTATGCACCCCAACGTTCAGAGCAGCACAATTTACAATAGCTAGGTGCTGGAAGCAACCTAGATGCCCATCAGTAAATGAATGGATCAAAAAACTATGGTACATTTACACAATGGAATTCTATGCAGTAGAAAGAAAGAAGGAGCTCCTACCCTTTGCAACAGCTTGGATGGAGCTGGAAAGCATTATACTAAGCGAAATAAGCCAGGCAGTGAAAGACAAATACCATATGATCTCACTTTTAACAGGAACCTAAACAACAAAACAAAGAAACAAGCAAAATATAAGCAAAGACACTAAAATAGAGGACAGGCTGACAGTGACCACAAGGGAGAGAAGAGGGAATTTCAGGGGAGAATGGAAAGGAACAATTTTAAAGGACACATGGACAAAAACTAGGGGGAGGGTGGTAATGGGAGGGAAGTGGGGAGGGTTGGGTGGGTGGGCTGGATTGGGAGTACAAGGGAGAAAACTGTACTTGAACAATGATTAAAATAAAAAAAATTTTAAAAATTTAAAGAAAAAGAAGCTGAAATTATATTCGGCCCTTTGAAAGCAACTGCAAGGATGATGTGGCCCCTGGTGAAATGAGTTTGACACCCCTGTCCTAGGGCAAGGGATATAAAGGAAGGAATAAACAAATGGGACTACATCAAACTAAAAACTTGTGCATGACTAAAGAAACATCAACAAAATGGAAAGGAACCAACTGTATCGGAAAACATATTTGCCAGTGATACCTCAGACAAGGGTCTGATCTCCAAAACATATAAAGAACAGGATTCCATACCAGGGAGAAAAGCAATCCAATTAAAAAATGGGCAAAAATCCTGAACAGACACTTCTCCAAGGAGGACATAGAGAGGGCCCATAGACACATGAAAAAATGCTCAACATCACTAGCCATCTCAACATCAGAGAGATGTAAATCAAGACCACAGTGGATACCTCTTCACACCAGTAAGGCCATCATTAATAAATCAACAAACAACAAGTGCTGACAAGACTGTGGAAAAAAGGGAATCCCAGTGCACTATGGGGAATGCAGACTGGTGCAACCACTGTGGAAAACAGTATGTAATTTCCTTAAAAAACTAAAGATGGAACTTCCCTTCAATCCAGTAATCCCACTGCTGGGACTATACCCTAAGAACCTTGAATCATCACTTCGAAAGAACCTATGCACCCCAATGTCCACAACAGCACTATTTACAATAGCCAAGTGCTGGAAACAGTTTAAGTGCCCATCAGTAAATGAGTGGATCCAAAAACTATGGTACATTTACACAATGGAATACTACACAACAGAAAGAAAGAAGGAGCTCCTACCCTTCATGACAGCATGGATGGAACTGGAAAGCATTATGCCAGGTGAAGTAAGCCAGGCCATGAAAGACAAATAGCATATGGTCTCACCTATAAGTGAAACCTAATCGACAAACAAACAAATGAGCAAAATAGAAGCAGAGACTTGGAAGTAAAGAACAAACTGACAGTGACCAGAGGGGAAGGGGAAGGAGAATAAGGGTAGAAAGGAGAAGGGGCAAAGAAGCATGAATAGAGAACTCCAGGGCATGGACAATGGGGGGTGGGCACTGACTGTGGGAGTGGGGGGACGAGGTAGGGGTGAGCAATGTGGGAAAAGGTGAGACAACTGTAACTGTACAACAATAAATGTAAAAACAAAGAAAAGAAATCCTTTCCTACCTCAAGACTATAAAATTATTCTATATTTTCTTCAAAAGAAAATTATTTTCAACATTGTTTTTCTACATTTAAGTAGTAATCCACCTAGAAATTATTTTTTAGTTTAATATATTAGTAATATATTTTAATTTTTTCCAAGTGTATTAACAATTGGCTTAACATTTAACAAAGAGTGTACTTCTTACTCCACTGATTTGTAATGGTCCACAACATGTTTTGGGTTCTCTATTAGTTTCTACTTGTCTGGCTATCTCTGCATACCACATTGTTTTATAATTAGTTTTGACATGTCATAGGGCAATTTCCTTTACCTAGTTCATGGCCTTCAAAAATTTTTGAGCTATCTTTGAGCCTCTGTTCATAATCAGTTTTGCATTTACATGCCAAGCTTTATAAAAATACTTGTTGGTGTCTTAATACATTACACTGATTTTTAAGATTAGTTTATGGAAAACTGATATCTTTATCATATTGACTCTTTCCATCAATGAAAATTGAGTGCTACTATAATTACCCTGGGCAAGTGTTGTCTATATCATGTTGTGCTATGTGTTCAGCAAAATTATTTAAAGCTTGGAAATACGAATCAAAGGAGGGCACCATTCTTTTCAATGCCATATAGGTACATTACTTAGCAGGCCCACTCAAGGATAACTTGGGAAATGAATTTTAATTGACACACTACTTAAACTTGATTATA